TTACGAATGGCATGTTGGGATCTTGTCTATCATTTGAGTTGAATAATAAAGAGTATACTAGCCTATTTTTTCAATATGACATGTTTGACTGGGCTTAAAGCAAACTATTATATTCAAATCATCCGCTAAAATTAAAAATATATCGTGACTTAAAAAAAATTGCGAAAGACTTTGGGATGAAATTGGACATTATAATTTATATTCTTTTTTTTTTAAAGATTTTAGGTTTTCAGTATAGAAAAATAAAAACGGTACACTATCAACATAAGACAAAAGTTGAAAGTTAAAAGTTAAAAATCCATAGAAATAGATACTTCTTCACCGAGATACTTGCCTATGTCATAAATAAATAGGTCTAAAGTAAAGAATTAGACAATTTTCATCTGATTTGACGTGATAGCATGAACAATCAGAGCCAATTTATAAACCTCACATATGACTGAACCGTCAAATCTACTTGTCTCTCGTATTCAAAATTCGGTTTTGCAGTGTCGTATCTACGTATTTTCTTGGGATGCACCAGACAGCATGAACCGTATACGATTTTCTAAATACTCGATGTGTGTCGGCATGAGAGAGAGAGAGAAGGAGAGCAATCACATTTGGAAAAATGTAGTCGGATACTCAAAATCAGAAACTTTAGAAATTATAAATTATCCAACTCAAAAATTTGACGGTAAGATTTAATGAAAACTAATGAAGGGTAAATTTGTCACAAATGTACCAATTTGGGGTTTTTTGTGATATTAACCTTTTTTTTTTTTGCTACCATCACATGGTAGCTTTTTTTTTTGTTTTCTATTTTGTCGAACAAATTATAAAATAATTTGAGTACTTCCCAATTTAAAAGACATAAATTGATTTAATTGACTTTTTTTTTTATCGCGATACATTACGTAAAAGATAAACGGACGGTCGAGATGTATTTTACGAATGGCATGTTGGGATCTTGTCTATCAATTGAGTTGAATAATAAAGAGTATACTAGCCTATTTTTTTCAATATGACATGTTTGACTAGGCTTAAAGCAAACTATTATATTCAAATCATCCGCTAAAAATTAAAAATATATCGTGACTTAAAAAAAATTGCAAAAGACTTTGGGATGAAATTGGACATTATAATTTATATTCTTTTTTTTATATAAAGATTTTAGGTTTTCAGTATAGAAAAATAAAAACGGTACGCTATCAACATAAGACAAAAGTTAAAAGTTAAAAGTTAAAAATCAAACTAGACCTTTGCCATAAATCCACAGAAATAGATACTTCTTCACCAAGATACTTGCCTATGTCATAAATGAATAGGTCTAAAGCAAAGAATTAGACAATTTTCATCTGATTTGACCTGATAGCATGAACAACCAGAGCCAATTTATAAACCTCACAGGTAACAGAAACGTCAAATCTATTTGTCTCTCGTATTCAAAATTCGGGTTTGCATTGTCGTATCTACGTATTTTCTTGGGATGCACCAGACAGCATGAACCGTATACGATTTTCTAAATACTCGATGTGTGTCGGCATGAGAGAGAGAGAGAAGGAGAGCAATCACATTTGGAAAAATGTAGTCGGATACTCAAAAATCAGAAACTTTAGAAATTATAATTTGGAGACCTGCGACAAAGGGAGTAAAGGTGGGGGTACTTCGTTGAATTGAATGCTTAAACATTTTATGGAAAAGTATGTTGAAGGTGTGATGAAATGACATGAAAAGATTTCTGTGACAACCTCATTAGGGCACCATAAATCATTGAAATATTACATAGTATTCAATCAATGTGAATTTTTAGGGAAATCACCAAAAAAATTCAGTCATAAACATTTCAATTGTACTAATTTAATCCTAAACATATTCTATAATTTGCCAATTGAATCCTTTCGGCTAATTTTGGCAAGAAATCGCTGACGTGGACACCGATCGTTCTATGTGGCACAACCGACTGACGCTGACGTGGATAATTCTTATACTTTTCAAAAAAATTGAATTATTATTATTATTTTCTTTTTTTTCCCTTCATTTTGGTCAATAACCCTTATTGTCCGGGCACTGGGCAAGGCCCAACAAGCCCTCGCTGGTCACTGGCAAGGGCTACCTTACCCGCGATTAGCGGGGTTGCGAAGGCCCTTGCTAGATCTGAGCGAGGAGGCCATCGCCACGGCCCTCGTGCAGCCAAAATGAAAGGAAAAAAAAAGAAAGAAAAAAATAATTAAAAAAGTAAAGTAAAAATAAAAAAGTTATAAAAATTCAAAATATTATTAAAGAAATGTCCACGTCAAAGTTGACCGTGTCACGTAGGATGACTGATATTCATGCCAGCGATTTCCAATCAAAATTGACCGGATGAATTTAATTGGCAAATTATGAAAAAGTTTCTAACTTAATTAGTTAAATTAAAAAGGTTTAGGACTGATGACACAATTGCAATAATAGTAAGACTTTTTTGATAATTAAACCGTGAACTTTTTTCTTTTGCGATTAAAGCCCCAAAGAGTATACTTTTTCGTTCGAATTGGTCCTTCCGTCAAAACTACGAATGGAAATACTGATGTGGTTTGATTGTCCAAAGCTGACGTATATCATTTTTGTAGCATTTTATGTAGCTATTCGCTATACGGAAAAAATAATTCGAAAGTTTAGAAAAGTAAAGAACTTAAAAGGAAACACCAAACAGAGCAGGGGGGAAATTTTAACGAAAAAACAAAGGATAGGAGGAGGGGAGGGATAGCTTGCTGCCGAGGCCCGCCACAACCTCGCCACTTTGGCGGAGAGGGCCGCAACCCTCCTCACAGATCGGGGGTGACACCGGCCTAGCGAGGGTGGTCCTCGCCCTAGATTTGCGATGAGTATCGGTAGCCTAACGCACAAGGCAGAACCGTCAATCTCTCTCTTTCTCCGCGTGCGCCGAAGAGGGAGGTGTTAGGCGTAGGGGTGATCGGTTCTCGGTTCCCAATTTTGGGAACCGTGGACCGGACCGTTTAATCCTAGGACCGGGAACCGGACCGGACCGTTGGTCCGGTCCGGTTCCGGTCCGGTCCAATAGAACCGGTCACTTAGGATTTAGTTTTTTTTTTGGTCAAATACTTAAGATTTAGTTCACATTTTACTATTTTTTATCAATGAATTTATATCAATGAAGTTCACTTAGAGTTTAGTTCATATTTTACTAATTTTTATCAAAGAATTTATGTCGATAAAGTTCACTTAGGATTTAGTTTACATTTTATTAATTTTTTTGAAGAAAAAATATGTCGGTCAGTCCAGGTTAGTTGTTTCCCCTTGGGAAGGAGCCAGGACTACTGGACACCGGTTCCCACTTTTAGGTACCGGGAACCGGACCGGCACCCCTTAGAACCGCCCAAATAGTGTTGGTTCGATCTGGTCCGGGCGGTTCCTGGATCGGGCGGTTCCGTTTGCACACCCCTAGTTAGGCGGCAGCTTCCATTGAAGAGGCTCGCGGACCCTCACAGCTATATCTCTTAGCTATATCTTCCTACAAGTTGAATTGCTATGGGTAAGAAATAGTAATAATGATACAAACAGTTCTTGAACTTTGACTCAATATGCAATGTGGTCCATGAATTTTTAAATTGATCAATGCAGTCCGTAAACTTTACCCTAATATTCAATGTGGTCCATGAACTTTTAATCTGTTCAATATGATCCTTGGACTTTTGGCACATGTTCAATGTAATTCTTGAATTGTATAAAAATGTTCAATGCAGTCCATGAACTAATCTTTCAATTAATTCAAGTTCATGGACTTCATTGAACATTTTTATACAATTCAAGGACTACTACATTGAAGAATTAGTTCATGGACTACATTGATAATGAACCAAAAGTTTAGAGACAATAGTGAACAAATTAAAAAATTCAGGAACCACACTGCACGTTGGGGTTACATTCATGGACCACATTGAACAGATTAAAAGTTTCAAAGATCACATCATACATTTGACTAAAGTTCACGAACACCTTATGCTCTTTTCCCTAAATAAATACAAGGTTTCAAGAGGATTTCGAAACATAGAACCGACGCGAAACGTGGGCAATTCCACTAGTTTGGATCTAGTCCGAAGCATAAAAAAACATGGAAAAGTCAATCCGACCGGTAAGAAAAGTCGATCATATTAGATTATCATCCATGACTGAGAACATTCTCCATTTATCATACTGATGAAGATTCAACTGCAGAACATCAATTAATATTGCCCGAAAATATAAGAAAGATTAAAACAAGGGATAATGACACAAACAGTCCCTGAACTTTGACCCAATATATAATTTGGTCTCTGAACTTTTAATTTGTTCAATATAGTCCTTGAACTTTAGCTTAATGTTCAATTTAGTCCCTGAACTTTTAATCTGTTCAATGTGATCCCTGAACTTTTGGTACATATTCAATTTAGCCCCTGAACTATATGAAAATGTTCAATATAGTCTCTGAACTTGAATTAATGGAAGGACTACATTGAACCTGTTCATATAGTTCAGGGACTAAATTGAACATGTATTAAAAGTCCAGAGATCACATTGAACAGATTAAAAGTTTAGGGACTAAATTGAACATTAAGCTAAAGTTCAGGGACTACGTTAAATAAATTAAAAGAAATCACGGAAAAGTCCATCCGACCGGCGAGAAAAGTCATCATATTATCATCCATAGCCGAGAACATTCTTCATTTAATTGCATGATGAAGATTGAATTGCATAACATTAATTAATATTGCCCAAAAATATATATATTAAAAAAAAAAAAAGAAATCCAATGTTGAAAGATCGACGAACATGTGAAAAAAAAACCATCTTTTCTCCTGCGTCGTCCCTTCCCGAACTCAAGAACATTTCCTTTTCGAAGACGTCTCTCTCTCTCTCTCTCTCTTTCTCTCGTTCGTCGTTTCGTCGATTTCGCGTCGCGTCGCGATCCGATCGGATCTCTTCCGGCGCGCCCCCAGTTCCGGATCTTCGCCGCCGCGATCAGGGCTCCGGCGGAGGGGGGGGGGGGGAGAGTTTTCGAGATCCGCCGGGCGAGATGGACAACGGCGACATCGAGAGCGGCGCCGACGTGGACGAGCTCCCGCCGCCGCAGGGCCGGAGGAAGTACCGGCCCGTGGGGGCCCACGACCGGGCGGTCCTCGAGATGTCGTCCATGGATCCCGGATCTTCCTCCTCCTCTTCTGCTGCTTCCGCCGCCTCCGCCGCCGCTCTGCCCCGGCCCCGCCGCGACGCGCCGCCTCCCAGGTTCTCTCATCTGCCCTGGCTTTCCGGTTTCTCGCGCCGCGATCGGTCGAGGGGAAATGTAGGAACTTTGTGTGTGGGGATGTCGATTTCTTCGGTTAGAGTGTCGTTGGAAACGGGATGAGTGGGCTTGGCTTCGTGTCCGTGCGTTGATTTTGCCGAGCGAATTGGTGTTTGTTTAGAATCTTCATTTTTTCGAATTTGGAGATCGATGCGAGCACAGTTTTCTCCTGTTCTTGTTGTCTGAGATTCATTCCCGCAACATATCAATGTGCTTGATAAACTAATTTGGTTTGTGAACCTTCACTTGGCATGACTCAGTTGCTTTGAAAGGTCAAAGTTGCTGTGCACTTATTCTATATCTAGAGGGCAGCATCAGTGCAGAAGCTGATGCTATCTTTACGGGATTATGATTTTGGATTAGATCTTTAGTGCATTTTTCTGCTGTGAGAGAGAAAGGAGCGGATATGCTGCACTTGCTTTTGGGCAACGCGTTTCCTTTTTTTCCTCCCTCGAGGGTTGAGGTGAAGGTGTTTGAACATGTTTAGTAGCATTGTGGATATGCTGCAATTGTTATGATGGTCCCAGTGAATGAAACTAACGTGTGGCACGTTAGATGGGTTGGTGGATGACCTTTTTGCGCTGTCCTAACTTCCAAAAAAACTTGTCATCTTGATGCAAGGTGTCAAACTTCAGTTCTAAAATATGGGAACACTATGGTGCTAAATTTTCTAGGAAGGATCTGTCTGTGAATCATCAAGTTAGGCATCTTGCATTGCATTTGACATCCGGTGTTAAAGCAATGCCACGTTTGTTGTTTCGCATTAGGAGAGATAGATCAAATAGCAATCTTTTTTGCTGTGTTAATAGATTCGGTATTTTCCCTTAATGTGGCAGGATCTGATGAATATTAGCAATTACATATGCAGTCGTGGGTGTCTTAATTCATGTTCATGATTCACTGTCATCACAGGAATATTAAAGTTGGCCAACGAGCAAATGTGGGTCCAGATGCAAAGGAAGAAGGGTCATCTCCAAGGCGTGCAGATGTTAATGACTCTCAGAATGAATCCAAGTTGGAACTGTTTGGTTTTGATTCCCTTGTGAATATTCTTGGTCTTAAGAGGTAAGCAGGTTTGGTTGGTTTCTGTGTTCTTTTAAACCAGTATTTAAAGATGTTTAAACTTTGTTTCAATTCTGTAGTGTTTTCTTTCTTTTATTTTCTAATGCTATCTCTTAGTCCAGTCTCTTTGCTAGAAAGTTTGCAATTGGAGCAGTTATAATTAGTTTACTGTTGTTTTTCTTTCTTACGTTTATAGGTTAATCAAGCTGAATCCTTTATAATATTGAGTCGTATTGATCTGTAGATGGTTTAAATTTGATTTGCTACTTCAGTATGACAGGGGAGCAAATTCCAGCACCTTCTAGTCCTAGAGATGGCGAAGATGTTTCCATCACTCTTGGTCATCGAAAGGTCAATATTCTCGATCTTGTTACCATCTTTTGCAATAGGCTTAGTCGCTATCGTCTTCTAACATATGGTCTATACAGAAGCGATTAAATGGTTTCATTACACAATACTCTGGTCCTTGTGAAGTAGGAACCGAGAATCAAATATTAAGGAGATTTAAAGCAATGAATATGATTGTACTTCTCCGAATTTTAAATTTAGCACATAGTTAATTGTCATGAAGCATGATACATTGTACTTTGCCTTTGCTTGAGTATTTTGGTGTTTGCATGCTAGGAGTATATTTCTTGTCTCTTTCCTTCATGGATACGGATTACAATTAATGGAAAACATGTTTTGGAATTCATTGATTGTGTATCGTGTATGGCGAATGATCTTTTTCCAAGTTCAATGCTAAGCCTTTATGTCTAGAGTTTGTTATACATATGCTGTCTATTCTTGATGGTAACTGCTCATTTCTTGCTCATTTGTGTATCCAATTTTGACTAAAACTGTCACTTCTGTTATTTGACCTTAAATGCAGAACTCTTTGATGATTCTGATGCCTTTTCATTTTCTTTCTCTCTGCAAATATCATGCAGACTTCGGACCTCAAACTGGGAACATTGATGGGTGTATTTGTCCCGTGCTTGCAGAATATTCTTGGAATTATTTATTATATCCGTTTTTCTTGGTAATTCTCTTGTTATTCTTTCGATTTGGATTTCCAGGAATTTCTTTGTTTCAACCAATGTGTGCTCAGTGCCTTTGTCAATGCGCTTTTGTGGATGGATTTAGCATGCATTAATAACAGAGGAAATTTGCGAATAGGCTCTTATAGTTACTTAAACTAGCTACTCTTTTGAAGATCTCTGCTATCCTCGTTCAGGGTAAAATCGTCTGTGGTTAATAGGCGGGATTGGCAGTAATTAGGATGCCATTCTCTTAGATATTGCTCCCATGAGTTGTGTTTGGTTTCTTTGGACAAGCTCAGATATATAATTACAATGGGTCCAATTTTGGTACTGATCATTGCCCAACTCAATACTGATACCGCTCCTGACTTTTGAGCGTCATGATGTGAGACTGCTTGTGATTGTCATATGTTTCATTTTGTCGTCTTTAAGAATTGTAGATTATTAGAAAAGTGGATAGCATTTTTCTGGAAGTTTCCTCATATCATTTGATATTTCAGACATCATCTCATTTACTCAGATTTGATCTCTCTCTCTCTCTCTCTCTCTCTCTCTCTCATTTTTAATATTCCAAGTCTATTTCTCAGTTCTTTTGTTGTCTGACTAGAAAAATTTTGTATACACTGTATTGAATTGAACAACTAGGAAACCCTTCATGTTGTTAGAAGTTGTATAAAATGTACTACTTTTCAAATTTTCCACCTCTTTTTTATATGTTGACAAGCGAAGAGGCTTTTGCTGTAGAACATAAGTTGTAGATCTTTCCCTGTTTGAGTTATGGAGCTGTGACCTTTATGGTAAATCTTGACTGAAATTTTGTTCTTTCCTCTAGAGAAATTTGCCTGTTTAAGTAATTTTCAATCCATTGTGAGGGCACTTTGTCCAAATTTTGCTTTCTCCCTCATAATCTTGGACGTTTTGCATTTGTTTTACCATGTTAGTAATGTTTAACTAACGGTCGTTTTCATATTTGTTGCAGGATTGTTGGTATGGGTGGCATAGCTGAGTCCTTGTTGCTTGTATTCTTTTGTGGCTTGTGTACATTCTTGACTTCAATATCACTGAGTGCTATTGCTACAAATGGTGCAATGAAGGTACAATCTTATTCACTAATCGTCCTTTGCTTTCTTATTTGCATTTCCTGCCTTGGAAGCATTGTCCTTCTTGTTCTGTTAGATCAATTTGCTTGTAAAGATTTAGTTGAAGACCAAATATTTGGCTTCTCGGATTTTAGATTTTTGGCTCTTTATCTGTTTCATATACGCTTTAGCATTTCTCCTGCTGCTGGGAGAATTTCGATGAGGGAACTGATGCTGATTGTGATCATGCATTTGCAGTCCACTGTCCATGTGTAGATGTCTCTCTTTCATTCATTGCTTCTATATAGGTCAACAAGATTGCTCATTTGCAGCAGTTTCTGTGTTCTTGACTTTCATTTGATCTGTTCTTTGTGCAGTAAGACTTCCATAACTTCATCATTAGCTATTTTACGTTTTTGGCGTCTGTGTAAGTGTAAAAAGCTCTCTCAGTACAATCTCTCTTGCTTCTAGGGTGGGGGACCATACTATCTTATTGGTCGTGCTCTGGGTCCTGAGGTGGGAGTGAGTATCGGCCTATGCTTCTTCCTTGGGAATGCCGTTGCTGGATCTCTGTGAGTGTAATCTTTGGACTTTATTGAGGTGATAACTTGGTTTGAGCCTTGGAGGTCTATAATGAAAATGGCGTTATTATGACAAAATGGTGTAGTTTAGAGTGATCTCGATTGCTGTAACTAATCATGTCAACATCCTCAATTTCTTTCACTCGCGGTTTCTAGATATGTATTGGGAGCTGTGGAAACTTTTCTAAAGGCCGTGCCTGCTGCTGGAATTTTTAGTGGTAAGATTATGATCTTTTCCACGAATATTCATCCACATATGCTACGCTTGTATTGTTCTTGGCTGAAATTACTGAAAGCCAACAAAATAGCTGAGCTCAAATAATTACTTCTTGACGATGTTGTGTCTTCAGTGGTTTGTAATGTCACCTGAAAAATGCTGCTAGATACAGCACTTTTTATAAGGTGGTTCTTCATCAAATATTGTGTTTCTTCTTGTTTTTGAAACTTCAGTTTTGTCAATTTGAAGTTTGGTGACCTCAAGGCTCCCAAATATCTGTCCTTGCAGTCTATGCCTCCTTGGCATTTAGTAATTTATTCTTAATCGCTGCTCTTTGATTGAGCCTGACAACTGTTAGTTAATGAAGTATTTTTCCTGTGTTCTATATAAAAATTGTCTTCTTAATGGCATAAAAATTCAAAACTTACTTTTTGTATCAGCCAAGTCGCTTAACCTATATGTTGTTTGTGCAGAGACCATCACAAAACTTAATGGCACAGAAGTTGCACAGCCAATCCAGAGTCCTAGCTCCCATGATCTGCAAATTTATGGGATTGTTGTCACCATAGTCTTATGTTTTATCGTCTTTGGTGGAGTGAAAATGATCAACCGGGTTGCGCCTGCATTCCTAATTCCTGTCTTACTATCAATTTTCTGCATTTTTGTTGGGATCTTTCTGGCTAAGAAGAATGATCCAGCAGGTAAGTTACCAGTATTCTTATATAGCACTCTTTTGGCCTTCTTAAAATTAAATACTGTAATAAGGCACAGTGCTACCAATTACGTACATTGGTTAAGTGCTTAAACCATAGTCATTTTGTTTGGCACGTAGAATGTCCTGTACAACTTGTTATAAGCTATTTATATTTTAAAATTGAGGAATTAATTATATTCTGCAATGGTGATGTTGATTAATGGAATGTGTTGACACTGCTTCCATTCTCTTGTATTAGCTGTTGTAGTCATTCTTTAGGAATTTTTTACTTGTCATCCAGGCAACTTACAGTGAATATTGTTTACTGGAGGAATGACATAAACTATACATTTTGGTATTCTTGGTTTAGAGGGAATCACGGGATTGAGTTCGAGCACCTTTAGGGATAACTGGGGTCCTAAATATCAGAATACGAACAATGCTGGAATCCCTGATTCTGAAGGGAAAGTAGAATGGAGTTTCAAGTAAGTCAATTTCATTACCTCATGAAATGTCAGCATTTGTTTCTATTGAGTCTCAATACAATTACTTGCAATATCTACATTTTCTTATGCTGTGATAGCATCTAGCCAACTAAATTCACTAGCAAAAGCTTGGTGTTGGAGTTCAATGAAAACTGCTGCAATTTTCCGCTGATCATTTTGTAGTGTGCTAAAGTTGAGTTGAAAAGATCAGTTGATTATGATGCATGAGATAGTTCAGCTTCCATTTTGTTCAAGTAGATGTGCATTCGTACTGTATATAATCAGTTATTAGAATGACAACATAGTGATCACTTTCCTCTCCTGGCCTTAGTTACCTGGACTTGCGTGTGGGTGTTGATTTGGGTGTCTGACTTGCTTTTCAAGAAATTCTTAGACACAAAGACTCATCCACAAAATAAACATGGGAACGGGGCCACTTCATGCAGTTTATACATATATATTACTGTTTTGAAGAACTCGTGTTTTCTGTCTATTTCTTTTCAAAGATACAACGGATCAGTTTTTTGTTTTGGTCAAAATACAACAGATAAGTTGTTTGGACCTTTTCTTGCATAAAAGTATTTTGGGCCTTCTTTTTGTAATTTTTGACAAGGTTGCATGTAGCCTTTTAATGGTATTTGTTTGTCAAGTCTTAGTCATCAGTTACCCCATATTTCGTACTTTTTGGTCCCTGATTTGTCATGTTTAATCCCAAAGTTTTTCAAAACTGATGATCCAATTAAGTGGCAAGTCTAATCCATCCCAATCACTTTAAACCAAGCCATTTAAGTTTGCACTTGATTCCTTTTTCCTCCACACGATCTTCTTTCTAAACTTAAGAGTTTAACATCTCTCTCTCTCTCTCTCCCTCTCTCTCTTTGTACAAGTAGCAAATATCACTGCTACTTCATTATGGAACTTGAGTTTGAGGTATTTTAGGGTGTTCTACACAGATTCGTACCCAAACTATGGTTGTCTCGTGTCTGACATGGGTATGTGGGGGGAAAACTCCTGGAGCCTAGTATTAGCACTTCACTTAAACGAGTGGGTTTTTCTGGGATCTGAGGTAAGAGGAATGTAAAATTATCACTCAGAGCCACTCTTGGCATTTGAACTCTAGTTGATGAGATTAAAACCGAGAACAACTCCATGGCCATTGGTGTAACATGGACTCACACGTCATACTCTTTCAATTTCTCTAAAGTTCGAGTTTCTCATTGCTACTTGGGTTTTCATTTCTTCTACCAACACTACACTAGGGGTGAGTTTGGTAAAACATTGAAAAATAGTTTATAATTCGAAAGTCTTTCGATAGAAAGTTTTAGTGTTTGCTAAATTATTCTAAAGCTCTTTGAACTCAAATCCTGCCTTTTTAAAGCTCAGTCCAAAACAGGTAGCCAGTAGCTTTCGCCTGAAGTCCAAAGCTGCTTTACAAAATTTTGCTAAACTTTATAAGGCATACATCAAGGATATTATCTTGAATATATTTTGTAAACATATCCATTACCTCGCATCTAGCATGAACAATTAATTGAGCAAAATTTTCTGGAGCTTTTAGACTGCTCGTTTTATTTCAGGGTCTCGATGTAGATAACTTCTTTTAAGATTCATCTGTTTGTTTCAGCTATGATATTAGAACATGATTTGGATGATCACTTGTGGGTATAATGCTCTCCCTACTCCCATCCTCCACCTTCTGCATTAATCAGTGACTGTTGTCAATCAACTCAAAGCTGTCCTTTTTTTTAACCGATATCTGATTAGAAGCTTCTGCAATGAGCTTATCTTAAATTTGGTTGATTGCAAGAAAGCATACTGCTTTCTTTGAGCTTGTGAAAAAGAGAAAATAATGTCTTCACTGACTTGGTGGTTTTCTTCTTCTGTACTAAGGTGGCGATCTCACCAGTTTTGTCATCCCACATTTGTTCATCCTCAGGCATGCTAGGTGATTTCTAATGTGGGGGATGGAATGGTTGCTGATTTTTCTAACTATTGTCATTTTCCCTTATTTTTTACAGTGCACTGGTTGGTCTCTTTTTTCCTGCTGTTACTGGAATTATGGCTGGTTCAAATCGATCAGCCTCCTTGAAGGATACACAGCGGTCAATACCCGTTGGGACACTTGCTGCAACTCTTACAACTACTGCCCTATATCTGATTTCTGTTTTAACTTTTGGGGCTGTGGCAAATAGAGATAAGCTACTGACTGACAGGTAGCTTTAGATCGTTTTTTTCTTTTCATTATAAATAGTTTAGATTAGATTGGATAGTGAATTGTTATTTATTTTTTCTTGCTAATTCCTAAACTTTTGAACCTTCTTGAATTTTCGCTTCTCTCCTTTTCCAAGGAGTACCTTGTGGAATTTTCTTTTGGGCATCCATAACTTGTTATAAGGCCTTTGGATTACCTTAGCCTTGGATTTTGGACATTCTATCATCTTTAGTTAGATATATGTAGCACATTTGCAGTTGTTTCAGCTCTTATTTAATTTGTTTACTCAGGCTGCTTACAGCAACAATTGCTTGGCCTCTCCCTGCAATCGTATACATTGGAATTATCCTTTCGACTTTAGGTGCAGCTCTCCAGAGCCTCACAGGCGCACCTCGTCTTCTGGCAGCGATAGCAAATGATGATATCCTGCCTATTCTCAATTACTTCAAGGTTGCAGAAGGGAATGAACCTCACATTGCTACACTTTTTACTGCATTCCTCTGTATAGGGTGCGTCATAATTGGGAATCTGGATCTGATCACACCAACTATAACCATGTTTTTCCTACTATGCTATGCGGGGGTGAACCTATCTTGCTTCCTCCTGGATCTTCTAGATGCACCCAGTTGGCGTCCACGGTGGAAGTTTCACCACTGGAGCCTCTCTTTGCTTGGAGCATCACTCTGCATTGGTATGCCTCATTTCCACTTAGGAGCTTATTGGATACTCAAATCCGTTCAGTTTGACTATTGGCCCAGAGGCCTGTAGTCCTGGATGTCTATTTAGATGTTTGTTTAATATGGTTCTTGAAATGGGAATCATTAAATGCTTCTTAATGACCCCAACTGAAGGCATTTCAGATTTTATGAAAGTTGACATTATGGTTGGGAAGGAAGCCCTCCTCTTGTTTCTTTTCTAGTCTTTTGGTTTTGCATTTGAAATGTCTGATCTTATTGATCACATAGTGGATTACTACTTTATAGTGGTGCATTAGTGTGAACTACCATGGACAATTCACATACTTGTTTACCTGTTCTTTGGTGCATGTGTTTGTTTGTGAGTCTTCCCGCATTGTATTCATTTTGTTCTTTTGTTATCTGCGCAGTGATCATGTTCTTGATATCGTGGTCATTTACTGTTATTTCTCTGGCCCTTGCAAGCCTCATATATTACTACGTGAGCATTAAAGGAAAAGCTGGGGACTGGGGCGATGGTTTCAAAAGCGCCTATTTCCAACTTGCTCTCCGCAGTCTTCGATCATTAGGAGGTACGTACCATTATGCTGATAGAGAAGTGGTTTTTCTAGCTTACAGCAATTCCTTCATCAGTTTTATCATTGTCAGACTAGACCTTAAGCAATTGTATCATGCTTCGTCACTATATCCTGGAATGATTTGCTCATAATCTTTTCTGATTGATATCATTGACAGAGTTCATCTTACTGTGTGACTTGGGTTTCACTTCTTCTAGGAGTCAGTGGAATCAATTTGCACTTGGTAGTCTTGTATGCTGTTAATCAGTATCTTGAAAAGGGAGGTGGTTTTAGTTAGTTTTCTGAAATATATTCTGGTATAGTTAAATGTTCCACGCTTCTTTTATTATCCTTAAAGCTCTCCTGATTTGTTGGAGCTAGACATATCTATTTGAATATATAGGTTCTGCACTGATGTGACTTATATAGGTTTTCAGAAAAACCAAAAAGCAATAATCTGACTTGAATTGACCCAAACTTGTAAATTCACTTTATTATTGCTCCCTTATAAGTGGTTATGGAGTGTTTTTTCTTGGTTCTTGGTGGACAATAGGGGACCAGGGTGCACGGTCCTAAGTTAATGTGAATTTCTTCTGTGTGTGGCTGAGAGTTAATGGTTTTAGACCTGAATGATACCAATAACCAATCAACAGTATTTTCAAAGCAGACCTGTCTAGCTAGTTCTACCAGTAGGATTACGAACCCATCCATGGCCAATGGGTTTTACTACAAACAAGTGGGTGGTCAAAAACTGGATTGAACCAGTATTGATCCTGTTCAAGCTGTCAAAATGGGCTGGTTGAACTGGATCTAAACCCATTTCAAACCAGTGATTTGATAATGTTAAGCTACTCGTGGGGTTTTGACCCATGGTCCTCTCAGATCTTTGGGCTAGCCTCTTACCAGTGTGCTGCAAGCTCTCTTTATGAATATTAAAAATAGCAAAGAGAACATTTACTGAGAAGTGCACGATCCCATAAAAAAAAAAAAGGTTCCTTGAATCCTGTAATATTTGAACTTGAGACCTACAGGCGTTGGAGGATGCTTTAAACAACATGATCTCAACCACTGGGGCCAGGGCATTTACGTGTCCCATGTTGACAAATAATCAACCTCTCCAGCCAGTGCGGTTGCGCCGCTAACCAGTCAGTTCACTGGGTCTCTCCATTTTGGTTTTAAAAAGCACCATAAATCGGAGCTAGTGGTTTGGCTTTGGTTTGGAACTATTTTGGTTTGCTGTGGTTCGATATTTTTTCAAAGAGATAAGTTCAATACAAATATTGAACCTAGGGAACTAGTCAATCATAAAACTCGTAATGGTGGATGGATATGAGGAACAATCAAGAATCTGAGTGATCAGCTTAATATGGAACTTATCTGTCACGTCACCATCCAAAAGCTATTCGGTCTAACAACAGAAAAACTTTTTTTCTGTTATTAATAGGAATTCTTTAGTCGGAGAATAATGACATGTTTGAAGTGGCTGATAGCTTCACAAGAGGGCTGGCAAGTTGTCAAATTTCGCTGTGAAGTTGCATTTGATTGTAATTAACGATAATTTCATTTTCTGGGTTCTACTATGAAGCAAGTTCTGTTGAAGAAATAAGCCTTATAAAAACCTTATAATTCTCTCCTACCTGCAAACTGATGACCTTTTTAAGTGCTAAAATAAAGTGGGCTACAGGATTACAATGGAACAGTTAAATCGAGAAACTGGTCAATGCATGCCCATTGTCCAACAATCTTTTTACGTGATCTCCAGCAAGGGAGTTGTTTTTCACTTGCGGTGCACTTCTCATTCACAGTTTCATCGCACATCTCTTTGTGCCTAGTAGCTATGTCTTGATTACCCTTTGCTGTATTTGCAGCAAGCCAAGTGCATCCGAAGAATTGGTACCCTATTCCCCTTATTTTCTGCCGGCCCTGGGGAAAGCTTCCAGAAAATGTACCCTGCCATCCAAAGCTGGCAGACTTTGCGAATTGTATGAAAAAGAAAGGTAGGGGAATGTCCATCTTTGTCTCGATTCTCGACGGAGATTACCATGAATGTGCCGAAGATGCCAAAGCTGCTTGCAAGCAGCTTGATACTTACATAGACTACAAGAACTGTGAGGGAGTTGCAGAGATTGTTGTTGCCCCAAGCATGTCCGAAGGCTTCCGTGGGATTGTCCAGACCATGGGCCTGGGCAATCTCAAGCCCAACATCGTGGTCATGCGGTACCCGGAGATATGGCGTCGCGAGAATTTGACTGAAATACCCGCCACGTTTGTGGGTATAATCAATGATTGCATTGTGGCTAACAAGGCGGTTGTTATTGTCAAGGGCCTTGATGAATGGCCGAACGAGTATCAACGGCAGTACGGTACGATTGATTTGTACTGGATCGTGAAGGATGGTGGCCTCATGCTCCTCCTCTCCCAGCTCCTCCTCACAAAGGAGAGCTTCGAGAGTTGCAAGATCCAGGTCTTTTGCATCGCGGAGGAGGATTCGGATGCCGAGGGTCTCAAGGCCGATGTGAAGAAGTTCCTCTATGATCTCCGGATGCAAGCAGAAGTCATTGTCGTCTCGATGAAATCATGGGACCTGAAGGTGGAGGGTGGGTCCCAGAACGACGATTCGCTCGAAGCGTTCACGGCAGCTCAAGGCCGCATCACCGACTATCTCAACGAGATGAAGGAGGCTGCTCAGAGGGACGGGACCTCTCTGATGGCCGACGGGAAGCCCGTGGTGGTCAACGAACAACAGGTGGAGAAGTTCCTCTACACTACCCTCAAGTTGAATTCGACCATACTCAGATACTCGAGGATGGCCGCAGTGGTGCTAGTGAGCCTACCGGCGCCTCCGTTGAACCATCCGGCGTACTTCTACATGGAGTACATGGATCTGCTGGTGGAGAATGTTCCCCGGCTGTTGATGGTAAGAGGGTATCGAAGAGATGTCGTAACTTTGTTCACGTAGTCGGCGGTGAATTCAGTTCTTTTTTATTTTACCTTCTAGGTCGATTCGATTACTGTATTTTAGTCGTATAATTTTTTTGTTACAAACCCCTCCCCCCCTTTTTTTTTCAGCAAATTTTGCAGGTTGAATGTAACATTCTTTTATTGAACCAGTTTAGTTTCTCAAAGAAAAATGGTTTTTAATTAAATTGGAGGCCATGACAGACATGGCTGGTGATTATGTTCCCTTTCCCTAATGTTCGTACCATGAATGCCGACCGATCCGACAAGCGGTCTTAAAGAAACCTATGGAGAACCGGGATCGTACCGAAAGAGGCGAAGGCCGAAGAGGCTACCGAAAGAGGCGAAGGCCGAAGAGGCTGGACGATAAGAAGTCCGATAAGCTCTTGTTGGCTATGGCGGGCGGTTCCAAGTGGGATGAGTGAAATTTGTAATGTAAGATACCGTATCATATGAAATTTGTCACAGGTGTTCAATTTGGAGTTTTTGGTGATTATAAAATTAATTTGAGGTAAATTTATTACAGGTGTACCAGTTTTTGGGTTTTTCGTAGTATTGACCCTTTCAAAAATGAGAAACCGGGTCTAAGTGAGTTTCGGACATAGCTAGTATTAATTGAATAATGAATTGTATGAAACTAAATAATAGAGAGTAAGAATTTAAGACGAGTAATATTAATCCGGTCTCATTTCGCTAGTCTTTCAAAAGATTTGAGTTTATATTTGACCATTTTTAGTCTACAATTGTCCAAACTCATTTCCTTGAAATAACCTAATTGCAACTATTACTTGATTATTAATTTATTTTCCGTGTTCTACAAATAATAAAGTTTTTGAATAAAAAAAAAAAAGCACGTGGGTTTTGAGATTTTTAGATTGAATATGAAGTCAAGAGAATAAGGAGGCCATAAAGTATTGCATTTTGGTAATGGAATAATGACACAAACAGTTCCTGAACTTTGGCCCAACGTGTAACGTGATCCCTGAAATTTTAATTTGTTCGATATAGTCTCTGAACTTTTGGTACATGTTCAATGTAGTCTCAGAACTTGAATTAATGGAATGACTACATTGAACAATTTTATAGAAATCAAACCTTAATTGAGGAAAGTCGATGACCGATAAGTTGGTAGGAATTTTGCACGGTACTGTGCACTCTCTCAACATCAATTTCATTTTCGCAAATGTAATGTGGACAATTTCTTTTTGTCATTTTTCTGCTTAGTACTTGATCCTGAATCCTTTTTTTTTTTTTTTAATTTTCAAATACGAAGGACTTAATCAAGATAAAAAGTCAAGAACTGAATTGATCAACGGGCAACAAATATATGAACTATGCCCCAATTGGAACCTTTTCTCCAATCCTACACTCCCCAAAACTATAAAAGAACCGAATTGGCTAACGATTTTAGGAGGGATTTGGTAGATTTACCACCAATTGTCAAATTCACGATTTATAATGATGTGATTCAAAATAATAATAACAATAACATCGTAAGAATCCGACAAGGTCTCCGCGAACTCAATCCCCTAAAAATACACATGCACTGCGCCCAAAAAAACGAAAATGGGATTTTTCGATTTAGCAAATATAATAATAATAATAATAATAATCGCCCAAAAAAACGAAAATGGGATTTTTCGATTTAGCAAATAATAATAATAATAATAATAATAATAATATCAATATCGATTCTTAAGAAAATGGTCTATTTCATTCCTGTCATTCATGGCATGCCTTCAAAAAGGGTCAGCATCATCCTCCAATGCAGGATGGGAGAGCTTTAATAAATATCTAGGGACGAGAACGACAGAGAAAAACAATCGCCTTCGCTACCGTACAAACCCCTCCCCCTATCCCCTTTCTTTTTTATTACGATGTACTGCAATAGATCCGCGGCGTATCTAAGCGATGTCGACACCCTGAATTTTAGCCGATGGTTTTTGAATCTTCGCTCTTACAAGAGCACAAAAAAAGCATAGACAATAGCGACATCAAACCAAAAAGAGCAAAAACAAATTCGGCTCGCTGGACCCAATGTCAGCCAAGGCCTACCAAAGACCCTTCAAACCAACCCATCTCACATGGCCCATGAACTGGTAAGGGCCCGTGAACCTCGAAATCAGAAGAGAGCCCCGGCCCCCCAACTCTTTCCTTCTTCTCCCTTTCTCTTGCTCGCCGCCAGTTCAAACGCCGGTAGCTCGTTCCGTGGCTGTTGCCCCGTCGCTACACCGTGCGATTGGAGCTCTCGATTCGCCCCTGTTCTTGACGGAGACAGTGCCAGTTGGTTCATATCTCACTTGTGAGATTTCGTGGGACCACTGTCAGCTGTTATGAAAAGCTTAAGTTACCTTCTGCTCACGAGCGTCCATCGTCTCAGATAAGGGTTTAATATGACAAACTTGGTCTCCTGAAGTGGCCATCTTAGTTTCAAACAAGGGTCCAAATTTATTTGGTTGGCCAAATTTTATATACGATCGGGGGTATTTTTGTCCAAAATAATTTTTTTAAATTTTCTTCTTTTTTTCTTTCCTTTCTTTCTTCATTTTCTTATTTTGCTCACGCCACTACCTCCATCTTAATTTACCACCTATAAATGATTGATACATAAACGGAGAATTATAAGCCCGAGTAAATATGGCGATTGTTGATATTTAGAGGTGATTTCTCTCTTCTCTCTGTTACTTGTCTCTCTCAATATCACATAATTGCAGTTGCAAAGAAGTTCTGTTCAGTTTCGAGTATTTGAGCATTTCGAAGAATCAATCGAAATGGATACATTGGAATTTCGCACAAAGGTTTAGGACTAAATTAGCAAAGCCGAAAAGTTTATGACTGAATTGACGTCCATAGAATAGATTTGAGATTAATTGGATAACTTTGGAAAATATAAATACATGTTTCTTTCGTTTTTACTTGTGTAAATGCCTGGCTAGAGAGATTCATGACCTTCTGATCTCTACTTCACGGAGTTGGTGTCCTTCTAAAGTAAAGTTCCTAGCGTACTCGCCACGTTCATAGAACCTTCTCGGGGATTTCAGGTCTATCCAAAGTGAGATCTCAACCCTCGATGGCAATGTGTACTCAACTTTGTTTTGGATCGGGGTCCCAACTACATATTCTAGTTGAGCTATGAATCGGGAGTCGACTGAATCTAAAGCCAGGTTTAAATTTAACCCCGATCCCTTAATCCGCGCACAATGTTAGTGAATCGTTGGGAGGAAGCTTCTTGGAACTTCTAGTATCCTTTGATCACAAACATCGGTAGTTGACAATAATAAGAATGGTCCCTGAATTTTTGCTCGATGTTTAGTATCACTCCTAAATTTCCTTCTTCTTTTTTTGGGCAATCTAGTCTTCAAACTTTTCGCTCAATGAAAGGGCTATGCCAAGTCAAAACCTCCTTTGCCTAAGGTGGACTGCCAAGTTTAATGGCTGCCAATTCAGTTTAATGACGACGCTGAAGTTTTACTCATTTAATGCTGTTAGGTTTTATTTTTTGACCAAAAGATTACATGAAGTGAAATTCGGAGAAATCAAGAAGATTGTTAAAACAAATGATTATTTAGGGACGACATTGAATTACGAGTAAAACTTCTTATATTACCATGACACTACGACTAAATTATATTACGTGAGTATCTCGTTGGATTTTTTTTCTTTAAAAGGACATGCCGATCACATACGAATCTCTTGCGAGCTAAGTCACGAAGACATTCAAATGAAACCTTTCCGTGAAAATTTTGGAAGATGTTTGTTCGTAAAGTTACGATACCGAGCACGTCGTGCAATTTGATAGCTATCGTGCTATGTCGATGAACGGCATAAAGGTAATCATCGGTTTTCATTTCTTGGCAACTTATAGCATCGTATGCAACTCCCATCCGTATAAATAGGGACGACAATGTTCCAATGAATCGTAAAGTTTCTGACGACAGAAAATACCAATTTAGATAGATAAACTTCGTACAAATATTTCATTAATCAAGAAGTGAGTTAAAACTCAAGGAGCTACAAAATTCTTTGGTTATCGTTATGTGGAATCGACACAAAGAGAATCGTGAGAACTTGAAATGTAGAGTCTAACTTCACAAGAATGGTCGCTTTTTCAATCTCTTTTTTTAGGGGGAGGTTGGATTTGTTTTGTCTAAAGCTTCTCACTCATGGAGGCAACTTCAAACTGAAAATCAGAGCTTGTGTACAAGCAACGTCCCTTGATATAGGAAATTCCCCACGACCCTTTTTTAATTATTATTCACATTAACGGGTGTGATTTACTCTCGTTCGATCTGACGGGCATCCCCGCTTCGAAAACGCGAATAAATTCCCCACGGCCCATCTCGGATTATTATTATATTCACATTAGTTAGCGGCAGATATTTTGTTTGCACAAGCAATGTCTATCATTGATTTTTCAACTGGAAAAATGGAGCTCTTGTCTCCATTCGCCTAGTGATGAATCGTCTTTTGGTTTTAGGATAGCCCATCTTTTTGTCGATCATGGGGTTCCCATGCCCGACGGGAGCAGCAATCTCCACGGCTCAATCGGAGTCAAAGTCAACGGCCGCACATTCAAATCGCCATGTTCTCATGGTGAAAAAAGGGCAGGTAAAAAAAAGAGATAATTAAAAAGAAAGGAGATTTAATGATGCTGACCTTAATTGTATCCAACACAGATCTTGCAATTGGAGACAACAACGATCGAGTGCGTGTTAGGGGCGAAAGGGTGGAGAGGAGCGAGCGGCCGACGAGATGCCGGGCACGCCTAAGTTCAGGCATAGTAGTTATTAGTCGATAAAGCCAAAAAAAAATAAGATGGATCGACTTAAGTCTGGAGTTGGCAGCCAATCCATCCGCATTTTGCCTTCGAGATGTCGATCGCGCACGTAATTAGGCTTTCAACACCGCCTTGTATTAGAGGAATGACGAATCGAATGACGGGACAAATGAACAAGATCGTTAGATAGGAAAATTATTATGTGATTTTGACGTCGTCGTTTGGGGGTCCAAGTTGCAGAAACAATACCATTATTATGGTCAAGATTCGAGAAGGGTGCTAAAGCAAAAAGTGTTTCGGAGGAATATGCGCGAATGGACCGGCGTTGTGCGTTGGGAATGCACCGTTTCGGAGGGCGAAGATTCCTCGGATGAGCAAAGAAAAAAATTATAAATTAAGGCTAGTTCGCTT